ACCTAATATTGAATTGTATTCAAAATGGTTACAATTACATTAAATAAATAAATCCATATTGTGACCATTTTCCGATAGTCGTCCATGTATTCTTACATAGCGAATTTCGAAAATTTGGTAAAAATAGTTCTGAAAAGCCGATCTTGAATTCATTTCGTTTGTTAAAAGTATTAGGTGTCTGCACAAATGTTGATCAACGACTTCTACATAACGCGTACATAACGATTGAATTCCATGATCAGTTTTCCATTTAATATTATTGACTCATTCGGCGTATGCCGACGCAAATCATATAGTGCTTCTCTTTCTTTCAAATTCGTTACTTTTGTTATTTATTTAAAGCAATCTGCTTATGATGACGATACCCCATTATACCCCAATTGTCAATTTTGGTTTCTTTGGTTGGACACAAATTGATTGAAATTTACAATTTTTTGGCCACTTGTTGCCCGCGTTGTCTAGGATACACTGATGCAGCTCAAATGGGAAGTTCTGCCGTATCCCACACATTCACCAGATATGGCTCCTCGTAATTACCACTTCTTCAGATCGCTGCATCGCATGGCTTTGCTGGCACGCGGGCCCGCCAAGTTGAAGAAGTGAAAGCGAAAACGAGTCAATGATTGAATCATTGCCAAATCAATATAAGTTCTTCCGACATGACGACGCCGTGTTGTAAAAACTATTGTAAAATGTTGTAGAAAATTATGGAAATTAGTTTGCTTAATATATGTTTTACCAATTTTCCATAATAAATGCCTTTGTTAAGTCAAAAAGTGATCAAAATTCTTGCAAACACCTAATCGTACCGGAATTTGTTTAATTAAATTTCCTCTCAACAAGCGAACATAAAGTATTTCATGGTATTTTTGGATTTTAATAAGAATTCCTTTATAATGACACATAATAGCACGATATGCGCAATTATTGAAGCATCTTCGAAACTAAGTAAATTTTGTGATCTTCCATAGACGAACAAAACGTATCTGACTTTTTCCTTCATTTTCACATATTAACTGACGATTGCCTAAGTATGCTAGGAGTCATAATATAAGATCAAAGAACTATGTGCTTAAGTTAAACTTATGAGCAGAATTGAAATGACAGATGACGACGCACGAAAGCGTTGAAGAAAAAAGAATGAGTGTTGGAATCGTGCAAAGTGAATTTACTTTATTGAACCTGTAATACAACTCTTAGAAGACATCCAAAGTGCTTTAGTTTGATTTAAAGTGGCGACTTCATCTATCGTTATGTAATTAAATCAAAGAATATAAATTTTTTCTTTTTCTATTTGACTGCAACAATAGCTATCAGAAAAAACTCACGTAAACGAAGTAAATTCAAAAAAAATAATTAAAAACATTGAGTAAAGAGAACGAACGATCCATAGGATTCAGTAAAAAGCTAACAACAACTTTCAGCAATTATGTTAGGGGTTTGCAGTATTTTCTGCAGTTCTTTGACCCGCAATACACAAAAAATGATAGTTCAACTTAAGCCGACTGCTCCATACCAACAAACGGTTGTAACTTTATGCAAACAAATGCAGTATGCTGCACACTGCGATAAGTTGAACCACATAATCTCATAACAAATGAAACATACACGTTGCACGATTGTAATCGGCGTTTTCTGATATTGATTGATTAACTCTTTCTTCTTCCATGTAGTTAATACCCCGTTTGATGCATGTATATAATACGCACTAAATACGTTGTTTGTTGTATTTTCACAAAAAAGTTTAGCAAAAGAAATTCGGTCAAAACTTTTGCAAGGACAAGACATCTTGTTTCCGTCCTCAATCAAAAGTTATGTGAGAAAGACTTGAGTTGTAATCTCCTTTCTGCTATTGAATATGTCGCCAAAGGAACGCCGGAAGTAACTGACTCTTCATCCTCTGATAGCGATTACAAAAAATATATGTCAAAAGACAGATAAAACCACCACAAACACGAGAACACAATTGCCAACAGTGTTAAAAGCTGCAAAGAGCTTTAAAAGGATTTTGTGCAGCATTTTTATACCCATCACCGAAAGATGATGGATATATTTATTTTGTCAAAGCGTTTGCAATGCCCAGAAAGAAGAAGCGGCCATGTGAGACAAAATGTATATATTCTTGAACAGCATCAAAATCTAAATCAATTTAAACATGTCCGTCTACGTGTCTGTCCGTCCGCGTGTCTGTTCGTCTGCGCGTTTGTCTGCCTGTGTAATGTCAACATTGGAAGTTCTCGCACGCAGATTGGCCATTGATTGAAAATGGGCTAAATCGGTCGAAGCACACGCCCACTGCACCATCTAAAGTGAGAACATCTCTGTTCTCTAAAAGGAAACAAAAATTGGTTCTTTGCGCTGTACTCATAAACTACTGTTCAATAATTCCAACGTATATTCTATGAGCCACTGCACAGAATTGGAAGCATTGACCGCGCCTTCTTAATATTATAATGTGTGAAAATTTAATACTTTTTCAATACTTTTGTAAGGTGCAGAAAAAAGCTTCAAGAACCCTATAACGTATATAAATTCTTGGCCAGTTTCAAATTTGGAATGTACCTAAACATGTCTGTCTGTCCATTTTTCCGTCGCTATGTAGTTTTTGTGGTAAACATTCTCTCGGTACCGAAAATCAAGGTATCGCCTACAAATTTGCAAAAGAACTTTTCAAGGACACACCTATAACGCCCACAGGCCTATACGGCAAATACTTTTATTTTGAAAATAGAAAAAAATCAACCGCGCCCACTCCATTTTATAGAACATAAAAATTTAGTTCTTTCTCATATTTTTTAGGATCACCATAATGGATATAAAAGATTCGGTCACGACCGAATATAATTTTCTTACTTGTTTTTCTTCAATTTTTGTAACCCTTTCTCGAAGTATTTCCAACGAAATGCATTTGGTGGCAGAAGATTGTATTTACACTTCTAAAA